TCTCTCCACTCCAACGGCAAGCTCCCCTACCATTCTTTTTTGTTTGTTTTTATGTTTTTGGCTCCTGTTCCTCTCTCCTCTCTCCCATATCCATCTTAGTTCCACACATAACAATCTCCCCGCTGCATCCTGCCTACCTGCACCGTGCGCTTGACATCACACCAGCAAGCAGCACAGGCATGGCCCGCTGGAACCTGCCCTACATTGATTACCGACCCGCTCTGGTGGCTGTAGTAAGTGCCACAAACAACCCGTCCCAGTAACTCCTCTTCGTCTATACCTGCCCTGCCATACCACATCTGAGTGACTGACCCTGCCAATTGAAGAAGGAGGTGAAAAGTATTGTGTTCACAGATGAGCAAACAACAAAGAACACACGCTCTGCCTGCTCAGACATAGTCAAATTTTTTTTTTAAAAAAGGGACGAAACAAACAAATCTACAATCAATAAACTAGAAAAATAACTACTGAATGCTCCGAAGACAGAAGACAATAACAAAAAGTTTACAAAAACAGGACAGGATGGTTCCAGTAGGCATCCAAAATAAAACACCAGATGACTCTCTTGTGGAAGAAAAGGCACTAGAACTACCTGATAGGGCATTCAAATCTCTAATACTCAGAATTCTCCAAGAACTGAGGCAAGAAGCTGACAAACATGAGGAAAAAATAGACAAATTCATGGAAAATACGGACAAAAAATTGGAACAATTCAGGAAAATAATGCAGGAACAAAAACCCAAAATAAATTCACAACTAGGAGTTATACAAAGACAACAATTAGAAATCCAAAATATAAACAACAAGATTTCAGAAATGGACAATGTCATAGAAGGGCTGAGAAGCAGATTTGAAATGGTGGAAGACAGGATCAGTGGCATTGAAGACAAACACTTCAATACGAATCTGTTTGAGGAAAACTCAGAAAAGAGAACAAAGAAAAATGAAGAGACCCTGAGAGTTATGTGGGACACAATCAAAAGCAAAAATCTGCAAGTGATTGTAATTCCAGAACAGGGGGAGAAAACGGAAAACACAGAGAGGATCATTGAGGAACTGCTAACAGAAAACTTCCCCAATATCATGAAAGATGAAAATCTGGCCATTCAAGAAGCTCAACGAACACCATATAGGAGAGACCCCAAAAGAAAATCACCAAGGCATATCATATTCACACTCGACAAAACTAAAGACAAACAAAGAATCCTGAGAGCAGCTCGTGAAAAACAAGAAGTCACATACAAAGGAGAAGCAATAAGACTAAGCTCAGATTATTCGGCAGAAACCATGCAGGCAAGAAGGCA